TCTTACATTATAAAGAAGGAGGATATAGTTTTCTGAGAGTTTATAGGTAAAAACTTTCTCTCCAATCGTCCTTGTCCTCACATTCCCTGCCAAGTGATCTGGTCTTACTGGCTTAGTGGTGAGGGGTAGGGGGAGGGGAGCCAATTATTTGGGGAAAAGCACCAAGCCATTACGACTATATAGCACTTGGAAGGGGTCAGGATAAGGATTTGGGGTGAGACGGGTGCAAAGGAATGGTGTCCAACCATTTGGACGCTCGAGGATTGAACGCCGACCTGCATGAAGCGAGACCGTAGCTCAGGGAGGAGAGGAAGAAGACCAGCAGATGGGAAGTTAGCAGAGTAGGGAAGAGAGAGATATGACAAGTGGAGAGTGGGTAGAGACACCAGGCCTCACCTTGTTTGTTATAACCAGACTTTTGAACAACAGCGACTAAGAGAAAAATCTTTGTTATCATTTCGCTTAGTTTTGTTTCTACCATTGCCACTGTATCTGGTTCCATTTTCTAATTTTTATTTGCAATCCTTTAGCCTGGTTGATCATTGACTCTGCACCACTGTACTAGAGATAGATGCTGCTTGTACACACTGTACTTTTCGACATACTGTTCCATATGCCGCTAAATTGTACACGGGATCTAGGGATACAACAAGGAACACCTTGGAACTAATTTGGGAGAGAACTGTGTTGAGGTAGATAACATGAATATTTCGCTGCATCTGTACTCACCTAGTTGAGTTTGCGGGGGTTGAGCTCTGGCTCTTTGGTCCCGTCTCTCAACCGTCAATCAACAGGTGTACAGACTCCTGAGCCTATTGGGCTCTATCATATCTAGAGCTAGATATGCTAGAGTGAGACACATATCTGTGGAGGTGAGGTAGTGTATATGGGGCCTAATGAAGGGGACAAGTCATGGATGATTGTCTTAGATTGTCGGGGGTAGGAAGGTGGGATGGAGGAGTGGGAGGCTGGTGAGAGTGACACAGAGTGAGAGTGACACAGAGTGAGAGTGACACAGAGTGGGAGTGACACAGAGTGAGAGTGACACAGTGGGAGTGACACAGAGTGGGAGTGACACAGTGAGTGTGACAGAGTGAGAATGACACAGAGTGAGAGAGACACAGAGTGAGAGAGGGGGGGGAGGGATCGTGAGTTACGAGTGAGGTGGAAACTAATGTCATCATACTGAACTATTTTCAGTCCTAAACATTTACTGAACTGCTTGATTTATTCCTGTGTATAATTCCTCCATAAATTGTCTGCTTGATTCCTATCTTTGCTTCACCTTCCTCGGTGATGGCTGGCTGCTCTCCCCCTGTCTGCTCCCTCCTCCCCCTTCCTCCAGCAGTCACGCCAAAAACATCCTTGAATGATCTGTTTTATCGAGAGTTGTATATAATTCAAACATATTACATACAAAAATCAGCATGAAAATTACCTCTGCTGAAGACATTGAAAAACTACAAACAGATATTAACAAAGTTTTCGACTGGGCAGCTGAAAATAACATGATGTTTAACGGTGATAAAATCCAGGTACGCAGGTACGGCAAAAATGAGGATCTGAAACATAATACAGGGTACAAAACACAATCGAATCTGCCCATAGTAGGAAAACAGCATGTCAAGGATTTGGGAATAATGATGTCCGACGACCTAACGTTTAGGGAGCATAACCAAGCAAATATTGCGACAGCCAGAAAATTGATAGGATGGATTACGAGAACCTTCAAGTCCAGGGATCCCATCACAATGGTTGTACTCTTCAAGTCACTTGTGTTGTCCCGTCTTGAGTACTGCTCAGTACTCACTTCCCCCTTCAGAGCAGGAGAGATTGCTGAAATACAGGGAATACAGAGAACATATACGGCACGCATAGACGAGATAAAGCACCTAAATTATTGGGATCGTCTCAAAGCTCTCCAAATGTACTCACTAGAAAGGAGACGAGAGAGATGCCAAATAATATACACATGGAAAATACTGGAGGGCCAGGTCCTAAATCTACACAGTAAAATAACAACGTTCTGGAGTGAACGATATGGAAGAAAATGCAGAATAGAACCAGTGAAGAGCAGAGGTGCCATAGGCACAATCAGAGAACACTGTATAAACATCAGAGGTCCGCGGTTGTTCAACGTGCTCCCAGCGAGCATAAGAAATATTGCTGGAACAACCGCGGACATCTTCAAGAGAAAACTAGATTGTTTTCTTCAAGGAGTACCGGACCAACCGGGCTGTGATGGGTATGTGGGCCTGCGGGCCGCTCCAAGCAATCGCCTGGTGGACCAACTCTCACAAGTCAAGCTAGGCCTCGGGCCGGGCTTTGGGAGTAGAAGAACTCCCAGAACCCCATCAACCAGGTATCAAACAGGTATTGTGTTTTATTAATATATCTGTGGTATTACTACGGAGATATTATGTTTACATTATATATATATATATATATATATATATATATATATATATATATATATATATATATATATATATATATATATATATATATATATATGTCGTACCTAGTAGCCAGAACTCACTTTTCAGCCTACTATGCAAGGCCCGATTTGCCTAATAAGCCAAGTTTTCATGAATTAATTGTTTTTCGACTACCTAGCCTACCTAACCTAACCTAACCTAACTTTTTCTGCTACCTAACCTAACCTAACCGATAAAGATAGGTTAGGTTAGGTTAGGTAGGGTTGGTTAGGTTCGGTCATATATCTATGTTAATTTTAACTTCAATAAAAAAAATTGACCTCATATATAATGAAATGGTTAGCTTTATCATTTCATAAGAAAAAATTAGAGAAAATATATTAATTCAGGAAAACTTGGCTTATTAGGCAAATCGGGCCTTGCATAGTAGGCTGAGAAGTGCGTTCTGGCTACTAGGTACGACATATATATATATATAAAAATATATATATATATATATATATATATATATATATATATATATATATATATATATATATATATATATATATATATATATATATATATTATATATATTATATATATTTACCCCTGGGCGGGAAAAGCTCTCTTACACAATATATTGAAAATCGCCTTTTTTTCACAAACTTTTTGCTCTACATTCTGTTAGCAATTTGTTGAATTTTGTGATAGTAATCCTTTGGAATAAAACTATTAGCCCTGGAACGTTATAGTTGTTTATATATATATCTAAATTCATTTATTCATGTATTCACTTTTTGTTGTACACATTGTGTATTTTATTTCAAAACATTTGAAATACTGTAACTTTTTGTATTGGGTTTTCTTTAAAGAATACAATCATTCTTAGGCAGGTTTTGATGGTGCTGTTGCAAGGAACAGCTGAAGGTGTTTGTTGGTAAACTCCTTATTTTAGTTCTTGGTTTACATCGCCTCTAGGCGACAATGGACGTGTGAGTTTACTTTTGTCTTGGACTATGTTCAAGCCCTAAGGTAAAGTTGTTGGGTTGTCAGTAAACTAAGTCCAACGTTAAGTTGCTGGTCGGTCAGTAAACTAAGTCCAACGTCATCAGAGATGTGTCATCAACCTGCCATCAGAGACATGTGTCATCAACCTGCCATCAGAGACATGTGTCATCAACCTGCCATCAGAGATGTGTCATCAACCTGCCATCAGAGACATGTGGCATCAACCTGCCATCAGAGATGTGTCATCAACCTGCCATCAGAGATGTGTCATCAACCTGCCATCAGAGACATGTGTCATCAACCTGCCATCAGAGACATGTGTCATCAACCTGCCATCAGAGACATGTGTCATCAACCCGCCATCAGGGATGTGTCATCAACGTATCAATAACACATATCTTATAGAGATTATAGACTCTATAACAGAACAATGAAAGATAAATTAACCAGTTGAATAAATCATGAAATGCAAGCCGGAACTCTGACGTACATTTGCAACATTCAATACACGGAAATTGTATGCAATTTCCTTACGCTGTTTCAAACTGAAACAAAACAGGAATATAAACATTGCCACAGTGCAAGGAGCGCGGGGCTCAGGTATATTGCTCGGTGCTCAGGCGCCGTGGGAGCAAGACCTTCATGGATCTAGCATATTCCTTTCCGTTCCTTGAGTCTATGGGAGAAAGGAAAATATTCCTTTCTCCCATAGACTCAAGGAACTAGGGGGGGTCCTTTGGGGCTAGATTCACGAAGCAGTTACGCAAGCACTTACGAACCTGTACATCTTTCCTCAATCTTTAGCAGCTTTTGTTTACAATTATTAAACAGTTAATGAGCTCCGAAGCACCAGGAGGCTGTTTATAACAATAACAACAGTTGATTGGCAAGCTTTCATGCTTGTAAACTGTTTAATAAATGTAACCAAAGCCGTTAAAGATTGAGGAAAGATGTACAGTTTCGTGAGTACTTGCGTAACTGCTTCGTGAATCAGGCCCTCTGGTTCCTATCCTGGCTGAGGGGATAGTTGCTTCTCAAGGATCATCAGTGTGTGTGGTCCAATCACCGGAATCTCCTCGGAGGTGATTCGGGGCACCAGGAGCTACACCTCACTTTCCCATAGTCACTGATGGGTAGTTACTGATGTGTTGGTACTGGAGTCTCTCAGGTGTGTGCTCTACTGCCTTCCACATGTGTCAGAAGGCTCCACCAACATGAGGGAGCAGCCATACCTCCTTCCACATGTGTCAGGAGGCTCCACCAACATGAGGGAGCAGCCATACCTCCTTCCACATGTGTCAGGAGGCTCCACCAACATGGGGGAGCAACCATACCTCCTTCCACATGTGTAAGGAGGCTCCACCAACATGAGGGAGCAGTCATACCTCCTCCCACATGTGTCAGGAGGCTCCACCAACATAGGGGATCAGCCATACCTCCTCCCACATGTGTAAGGAGGCTCCACCAACATGAGGGAGCAGTCATACCTCCTCCCACATGTGTCAGGAGGCTCCACCAACATAGGGGAGCAGCCATACCTCCTCCCACATGTGTCAGGAGGCTTTCACCAACATGGGGGAGCAGTCATACTGCCTCCCACATGTGTCAGGAGGCTCCACCAACATGGGGGAGGAACCATACTGCCTCCCACATGTGTCAGGAGGCTCCACCAACATGGGGGAGGAACCATACTGCCTCCCACATGTGTCAGGAGGCTCCACCAACATAAGGGAGCAGCCATACCTCCTCCCACATGTGTCAGGAGGCTCCACCAACATGGGGGAGCAACCATACTGCCTCCCACATGTGTCAGGAGGCTCCACCAACATGGGGGAGCAGCCATACCTCCTCCCACATGTGTCAGGAGGCTCCACCAACATGGGGGAGCAGTCATACTGCCTCCCACATGTGTCAGGAGGCTCCACCAACATGGGGGAGGAACCATACTGCCTCCCACATGTGTCAGGAGGCTCCACCAACATGGGGGAGGAACCATACCTCCTCCCACATGTGTCAGGAGGCTCCACCAACATGAGGGAGCAGCCATACCTCCTCCCACATGTGTCAGGAGGCTCCACCAACATGGGGGAGCAGTCATACTGCCTCCCACATGTGTCAGGAGGCTCCACCAACATGGGGGAGCAACCATACTGCCTCCCACATGTGTCAGGAGGCTCCACCAACATGGGGGAGCAACCATACCTCCTCCCACATGTGTCAGGAGGCTCCACCAACATGAGGGAGCAGCCATACCTCCTCCCACATGTGTCAGGAGGCTCCACCAACATGGGGGAGCAGTCATACTGCCTCCCACATGTGTCAGGAGGCTCCACCAACATGGGGGAGCAACCATACTGCCTCCCACATGTGTCAGGAGGCTCCACCAACATGGGGGAGCAACCATACCTCCTCCCACATGTGTCAGGAGGCTCCACCAACATGAGGGAGCAGCCATACCTCCTTCCACATGTGTCAGGAGGCTCCACCAACATGGAGGAGGAGAACACTGTTGGGCCAGACGGAGCCTCACCATGGGTACCAAAAGAGTGAGCAGAAGCACTGTGCCTACCACTCTCCACGGTGTATAACAAGTCAATGGCAATAGGAGAATTGCCAAATATTTAGAAGAAAGCTAATGTAGTCCCGATACTGAAGATGGGAGAGAGAAACAGGAGGCACTGAACTATACACCAGTGTCCCTAACTTGCATACTATTCATGGATGTTGAGGAAAGAACTAGCAGAACTAGCAGATTCGCAGGTTCGAATCCTCGTCACGGCCCTTGTGGATTTGTTCATCTGGAGAGAAGGAACTTTGTAATACATCACCAGCATGGATTCAGGGAGAGTAAATCTTGCCTCACATAATTTAGTAGAATTCTACGACTTGGTTACAAAAATTGGAGAATGGTCCAACAAATGGTTATGCAAGTTTAACTCAAGTAAATGTAAAGTAATGAAGCTCGGTGGAGGGAACAGGAGGCCAGACACGGGGTACCGAACGGGGACATGAAATCTTCCACCAAACAGACAGAGAGAAGGATCTAAGAGCTGACATCACACCAAACCCTCTCCCGTAGTCCACATAATAAACATATTTTATAAAGATAAATACATTTTCTGGGTCCCGGTAGTATAGTGGGGTTCGTTCTCGACGCAGAATCGTGAATTCCGGGTTCGAATCCCAGGCGAGACAGAAATGGTTGGGTTCATTTAATTTGACCTAATGCCTCTGTTCACCTAGCAGTAAGTAGGTACTCAGGAGTTAGTCAACTTGTTGTAGGGTTACATCCTGGGTGGGGTCAGTAATTAGGCCTAGGTTGGGGGGGAGGGGGGAGGGGAGAGCTTGATAAAAACCAATTGTCTATGAATACACTCTGGCTTCCTGTCCCTGACCCAAAATGAATTATTAATTATATCATTAGCGGCATATGGGAGGCTGGCTAACATCAGAACTGACTTTTTAGAACCTTGTGTATGGAATTATTTAGCACCTTGTATACCACGTATGTCAGACCAATCCAGGAGTATGCGGCTCCAGCATGGAATCCGTACCATGTCAAGCATAAGACAAGGTTGGAGAAGGTTTAAAGGTATGCCAGCTGATTAGTTCCGGAACTACGAGGGATGAATTACGTAGAAAAGCCACGTGAATTGAACCTCAAGTAGCTGCAAGACAGAAGAGTTAAGAGGAGACACGATCAACACATACAAAATTCTCAGCGGAACTGAAAGGATAGATAAAAACAGATTATTTAACTAGCCCGTCCTCCTAAGACTTCACAACGTCAAGAAACTGCCGTACTAAAGTGCCCTTATCCTAACCTACCAGAGAACCCAAAACAGAAAACGGGACAGTACGTCAATTTCACGAGCCGCTATCATTTTTCTGGAACGACAATTTTTGCCCATAGGTAGAGTATACGTGAAAATACGACGTACTATTACGAGGCCGGGTTGATTTAACACGGCAGGTACTCGAACAAGGGGACACAGGTGGACACTGAGTACCCAAATGAGCCACAGAGACGTTAGAAACAATACTTTCAGAGTCAGAGTAGTTAACAGGTGGAATGCACTAGGAAGTAATGTGGTGGAGGTTGACTCCATACACAGTTTCAAGTGTAGATATGATAGAGCCCAGTAGGCTCAGGAACCTGTACACCTGTTGATTGACAGTTGAGAGGCGGGACCAAAGAACCGTAGCTCAAAGCTCTCAAACACAATTAGTTGAGTACTGTTGAGTCCTGAAGTCAATCAGGGGTTTCAACCTTGACGTTCCAGCAAGCAAGCAACCCGCAGTACACCTTTAAAACTCTCTTTTCCTCAGCTGCTTCTTGAAGTCCACCCTCCTGCTCTGACCTTTGACCCGCTGTGCCTTATACCTCGCCTTGCACCTGTGACCTTCTTATCTCTGAGATCTTCATCCCGCTCTGACCTTCTTATCTCTGAGATCTTCAGCCCGCTCTGACCTCTATAATCTCCTGACCTTTGACCTACACTCCCGTAAGGCATTAGAGGGTGTTAGTCAACTGTTCTAGATTATAAAAGGGGAGATGTGCAGGACTCCTAGAGGCTGGAGCAGGACCTCGAGGCTGGAGCAGGACCTCGAGGCTGGAGCAGGACCTCGAGGCTGGAGCAGGTCCTCGAGGCTGGAGCAGGACCTCGAGGCTGGAGCAGGTCCTCGAGGCTGGAGCAGGTCCTCGAGGCTGGAGCAGGACCTCGAGGCTGGAGCAGGTCCTCGAGGCTGGAGCAGGTCCTCGAGGCTGGAGCAGGTCCTCGAGGCTGGAGCAGGTCCTCGAGGCTGCGGCAGGTCCTCGAGGCTGGAGCAGGACCTCGAGGCTGGAGCAGGTCCTCGAGGCTGGAGCAGGTCCTCGAGGCTGGAGCAGGTCCTCGAGGCTGGAGCAGGTCCTCGAGGCTGCGGCAGGTCCTCGAGGCTGGAGCAGGACCTCGAGGCTGTAGCAGGTCCTCGAGGCTGGAGCAGGTCCTCGAGGCTGGAGCAGGTCCTCGAGGCTGTAGCAGGTCCTCGAGGCTGTAGCAGGTCCTCGAACCTGGAGCAGGTCCTCGAGGCTGGAGCAGGACCTCGAGGCTGGAGCAGGTCCTCGAGGGAGACTGGAGCAGGTCCTCGAGGCTGGAGCAGGTCCTCGAGGCTGGAGCAAGTCCTCGAGACTGGAGCAGGACCTCGAGGCTGGAGCAGGACCTCGAGGCTGGAGCAGGACCTCGAGGCTGGAGCAGGACCTCGAGGCTGGAGCAGGTCCTCGAGGCTGGAGCAGGACCTCGAGGCTGGAGCAGGTCTACGAGGCTGGAGCAGGTCCTCGAGGCTGGAGCAGGTCCTCGAGGCTGGAGCAGGACCTCGACGAAGGCTGGAGCAGGTCCTCGACGAAGGCTGGAGCAGGTCCTCGAGGCTGGAGCAGGTCCTCGAGGCTGGAGCAGGACCTCGAGGCTGGAGCAGGTCCTCGAGGCTGGAGCAGGTCCTCGAGGCTGGAGCAGGTCCTCGAGGCTGGAGCAGGTCCTCGAGGGAGGCTGGAGCAGGACCTCGAGGCTGGAGCAGGACCTCGAGGCTGGAGCAGGTCCTCGAGGCTGGAGCAGGTCCTCGAGGGAGGCTGGAGCAGGACCTCGAGGCTGGAGCAGGACCTCGAGGCTGGAGCAGGTCCTCGAGGCTGGAGCAGGTCCTCGAGGCTGGAGCAGGTCCTCGAGGCTGGAGCAGGACCTCGAGGGAGGCTGGAGCAGGTCTCAGCCTCCCCCAACACCAGGCTCCTGACACCAAAGGATCGTTCGGACAGAATTATGTGATGCGGACAGGAACACGCGTTTCATCTTGGCGGCCAAAATTACTCTCCCTACAATCCATTGTCCGTGTGGTGCCTGGTGGTGGCACAGTGCCTGGTGGTGGCACAGTGCCTGGTGGTGGCACAGTGCCTGGTGGTGGCACAGTGCCTGGTGGTGGCACAGTGCCTGGTGGTGGCACAGTGCGAGCTTGTGGCACAATTCCTGGTGGTGGCACAGTGCCCAATAGTTACATGTACATACGATAAGACGCTTCTTCCACATAACAGAATACTAATTACGTTAGTGTCCTAGTTCATTCTGATCATGTTTATAAGGAAGCGGGAGCACTGAAATGTTAATGTTCTTCAGTTTTATTAGTTGTGAAGGTAAAATGGCTTGTTTACTTCAACATGGCAATCAACAGGTTAAAGTCGAGTCTGTTGAAGTCGGGAATTGGCGCCAAAATAAGTTCAATCTTCGACGCCTGGTACCCCGGATGTAAGGGAATAAGATGATTGGATGTTTGCACGTAGGAGTAGCCAATGGAAGTGGCGAGCTAGAGTCACGTGACACATGGGAGGCCTCTGAGTGGTGGAGGTCTGGCGGCCGAGACCCCAGTGTTCATTGAACTTCCATACGGGGAGGATGCAACGAGGGCGACTCCAGGAAATAAGTGTGTTTGGCAGGTAAAAATTATCTAAGAAAAGATGACGTACCGGAGTGATTTACTTGAGCTTTCTGCAACACTATTGCTGAAGTATTCCGCAAGTTGCAGGGAGTTGCAACTCAGAAATCGTTTGGTGATCTTGGACCATCTGTGTCAAAATAAACAGCTGGGCTGAGGGACCTAATTGGTGTTTACCCTGGTAGTCTCGTTCGCTCTGTAACCATACATAATGAGAGTGTAGTTCAAGTCATCGGCGAGCAGTGAACTACCAAGTTGCAGTCCTGCTAACGATGAGACCCCTGTAGGTGGAAGCAGACGACGTTGTGGAGAGCTAATTGCCTGGTTAAGAGGCCAGTGGGATTATCACCACAATTTACCGTCATCCATGTTAATGAGTGTATTCCACCTGCGACATTGACGGTTTGGTGTGGCCAGGTTAAGGCAGGCGATGTGTCACAATAACGTGGCTAAAGTAAGTTGACCAAACCACACACTAGTAGGTGAAGGGACGACGACGTTTCGGTCCGTCCTGGTCCACTCTCAAGTCGACTGAGAATGGTCCAGGACGGACCGAAACGTCGTCGTCCCTTCACATTCTAGCGTGTGGTCTGATCAACAGGTTAAGGCATTTTCATCACCATATCGAGTGATGTAGTGATGTGTAGTGATGTGATGTGTAGTGATGTGATGTGTAGTGATGAGTGATGTGATGTGACCAGCCTACATGTGGACATTCTGTGTCACTAGTAAGATAACGTTTGGTAACGTGTTCATACATTTGTAACGATAATCACTCTGGGATTTGAAGATCAAAGGCGAGGGATTATCTTTGAGGCTTGTTACGTTGTAATGGCTTGCGAACCATTCAAGTATATACATATATATTACACACACATATATACTACTATCTGCCTAATTCCTGTCTCTGGCAAATTGTATGGCCATATTGTTTGTGAGGGAGACTAACATTGCCAGCAAACAGTACAAACAGTATATATAAACATTAGTAAACTACTCACAGAGAGAGCTCACACACTTACACACGCATCCCACACTCTCACACGCATCCCACACTCTCACACGCATCCCACACTCTCACACGCATCCCACACTCT